GTCTTACTCTGTTGCCCAGGCTGGAATATAGTGGCATGATCATAGCTCACTGCATCCTTGAAATCCTGGGCTAGGCCAGGCGTGGAGGCTCATGCCTGTAATCCCAGTACTTTCGGAGGCCGAGGCAGGTGGATCCCAAGGTCAAGAGTTTGAGAACAGCTTGACCAATATGGAGAAACCCTGTCTCTACTAAAAATACAAAACAAATTAGCCAGGTGTGGTGGCACATGCCTGTAATCCCAGCTAATCAGGAGGCTGAGATATGAGAATCACTTGAAACTGGGAAGCGGAGTTTGCAGTGAGCTGAGATGGCACCACTGCACTCCAGCCTGGGTGAAAGAGCGAGACTCTGTCTCAAAAAAAAAAAAAAAAAAAATCCTGGGCTCAAGTGATCCCCGTGCCTCAGCCTCACAAGTAGTTGAGACTATAGGTTCATGCCACCATGCCCAGCTCATCACCTCTAAACTTTTGACATTGTGCCTTTTGCAAAACCTTCCTCCACTACTTGTGAGCCAGTTTTCCATACTGTTCTCTGCTACACTGCTGTGGACATTGCATACACCCCTGTTTTCATATATATCCCATGTGAATTAGTCCATTCTCACACTGCTATAACAACATACCAAAGACTGGATAATTTATAGAGGAAAGAGGTTTAATTGACTCACAATTCCACAGGGCTAGGGAAGCCTCAGGAAACTTATAATCATAGCAGAAGGGAAAGCAAACACGTCCTTCTTCACAAGGTAGCAGGAAGAGAAGAATGAAAGCCAAGTGGGGGAAAGGCCTCTTATAAAACCATCAGATTCTCATGAGACTTCACTCACCATCATGAGAACAGCATGGAGGTAACTGCTCGCATGATTGAATTACCTCCCAGTGGGTCCCTCCAACCACATATGGGTATCATGAGAACTACAATTCAAGATGAGATTTGGGTTGGGACACAGCCAAACCATATCATTTCACCCCAGACAGCTCCCAAATCTCATGTCCTCACATTTCAAAACACAATCATGTATTTCCAACAGTCCCCCAAAGTCTTAGCTCATTCCAGTAACAGTCCAAAAGTTCAAGTCCAAAGTCTCATCTGAGACAAGTCCCTTCCACCTATGAGCCTGTAAAATCAAAAACAACCTAGTTCCTAGACACAAAGGGGGTATAGGCATTGGGTAAATACACTCCTTCCAATGGGAGAAATTGGCCAAAACAAAGGGGCTACAAGCCCCATGGAAGTCCAAAATCCAATAGAGATTTCATTAAACATTAAAGCTCCAAAATGATCTCCTGCCTAGACGCACTTATGCCTAGTATTCCATTATTGGAACACTAAGTATGTGGGAGTTATTTATATCCTACTGCTTAAGATCATCACCAAGGTCTGATTTTTCACTCATGCAAAAATTAAAAAATTTGCAACCTCAGGCATAAACGGGTTAATTTGATGTCTCACATCAGATCATGCTGATGCAAGAGGTGGGCTTCGACATCCTTGGGCAGCTCCACCCCTGTGGCTTTGCAGGGTATAGCTCCCTCCCAACTGCCTTCATGGCTTGCATTTCCATCTTCATGGTGCAGGCTGTCAGTGGATCTACCATTGTAGGGTCTTGGAGCATGGTGGCCCTCTTTTCACAGCTCTACTAGTGAAAAGGGACTCTATGTAGGGGCTTGCACCCCACATTTCTCTTCCACACTGCCCTAGTAGAGGTTCTCCATGAGGGCTCTGCCCCTGCAGCAAACTTCTGCCTGGGCATCCAGGCACTTCCATAATTCCTCTGAAATCTAGGTGTTCTCCAAATCTCAATTCTTGACCTCTGTGTACCCACAGGCCCAACACCACATGGAAGCTGTCAAGGCCCGGGGCTTGCACCCTCTGAAGCATCAGCCTGAGATGTATGTTGGCCACTTTTAGCCATAGCTGAAGCAGCTGGGATGCAGGGCACCAAGTCCCAGGGCTGTACACAGAAGGGGGGGTCCTGGACCTGGCCCTGAAAGCCATTTTTCTCTCCTAAGCCTCCAGGGCTGTGATGGGAGGGGCTGTCATAAAGGTCCCTGACATGCTCTGGAGACATGTTCCCATTGTCTTAGTGATTAACATTTGGCTCCTTGTTACTTATGCAAATTTCTGCTGCCAGCTTGACTTTTTCCCCAGAAAATAGGGTTTTATTTCCTATTGCATCATCAGGCTGCAAATTTTTCAGACTTTTATGCTCTGCTTCCTCTTGAATGCTTTGCTTCTTAGAAATTTCTTAGAATACCCTAAATCATCTCTCTCAAGTTCAAAGTTCCACAGATCTCTGGGGAAGGTACAAAATACTACCAGTTTCTTTGCATAGCAAGAGTAACCTTTACTCCAGTAAAATGTTCCTCATCTCCAACAAGTTCCTCATCTCCATCTGAGACCACTTCAGCCTGGACTTTATTGTCCATTTCACTATCAGCATGTTGGTCAAAGCCATTCAACAAGTCTCTAGGACTCTCCAAACTTTCCCACATTTTCCTGCTTTCTGAGCCCTCCAAGTCTCTAGGAAATTCCAAACTTTCCCATATTTTCCTGTCTTCTTCTGAGCCCTCCAAACTGTTTCAACCTCTGCTTTCACCCATTTCCAAAATTGTTTCCACATCCTCAGGTATCTTTACAGCAGTGCCCCACTCTCTGTGGTACCAATTTACTTACTGTATTAATCTGTCCTCATGCTGCCATAAGGACTTACCTGAGACCAGATATGTTTCCTGAGTGAGGCCTCAGGCAACTTACAGTCATGGCTGAAAGGAAAGTAAACACATCCTTCTTCACAGCAGTAAAGAGAAGAATGAGAGCAAAGCAGGGGTAAAGCCCCTTATAAAACCAGCAGATTCTTGTGAGAACTCACTCATGTCATGAGAACAGTAGCATGGAGTAAATGCCCCCATGATTCAATTGCCTCCCAGCAGGTCCCTCCCACCACATGTGGGGATTATGGGGACTACAATTCAAGATGAGATTTGAGTGGGGACACAGCCAAACCATATCACCATGGCATTGTGGCTTACTCTTTACATGTTCACACATCTGTGTCCTACACTATATTCATTACTTGTTTAGACAGCAGAGCCGATATCCTATTTATCTTTGTATCCTAGCACCCAACAGAGCCTGTTGCATGGCTAGTACTCAGCAAGTGCTGGATGAATTAATGGACAATTCCAACAAGTAGTAAAATGCTGTAGTTCTTTTCATAGGAAGGAACAGGCACAATTTCACATATTTCAAAAATTTCATAATCACCCTAGCTAGCTAAAGACTTATCCCATACTTTGCTAAAATTGATAGCTACTGTTTCTTGAGGACCTCCTATCTTCAGACATACTGCCATGGGCTTTAAATATACCATCTCTGATCTTCATAACAACCAGCAAGGTACATGTCACCGTTCACATTTTATAGATCAAGAAACGGAAGTCCACAGATTACACATCTGTTAGTGGCAGAGCTGGGACTAGGGCAGGACTGCCAATTCACAACGTGCTTTGCATTCTGTACCTCCTTTCTTTCTGCCCCTGTGAGCGGGAGGAGCCCTGTAGGGCCAGAGCTCCTCTTAGAATCATAGAGTTGGCCCCCCTAGGGTCGCATTTCTCATACTGCATAGACAGAAATGAACTGATCTTGTTCCTGAGTACAGCTGCCCAGGAGCTGTGGGTAAAACCCAGAGGGCTCATACACCAAACAGGATTTTGAAATGTTCACTGACAATAACTCACTCAGTCACAGGATTCCCTCACTTTTCAGGTAAAGCCAATTGGATGGCGTTTGTGGCACCAAGCATTTGCATTGCTATCATCATGGTGGGCATTTTCTCGACACATTACTTCCAGCAAAAGTGAGTTGGTTACATCTGCCAATTTGGTAAATGAGGTTAAAAAATGGTAATAGCTGTTGCTGCCATGGGTCAGGGAAATGAATACTGAGTGGCAATTACTCCCTGCCCCAAGGATATAAGCCACAATATTAATGGTGTTTATATCTGGGGATAGAATTGTAGGTGATTTTAGTTTTTCTTGTTTAACTATATTTTCTAAAATTTCCTTAGTAAATACGTATTATGTTTCAAAGAAAAGATTTTTAATGAGTTGGTTATTCAGTACGAAGTTTTCTTCAAATGCTGTGTAAAGTAAGAGAAGAGATCAAAATAAAACTAACTCAAAGTCATTCTACCAACCACTGAACTTGTCCAACAGGCTGCACATTTATTGAAGATCTAATGTGTGATAGATACTTCAAAGCAGAGCTCTCTTTAGATAGACTTTGAAACAGTTTAACTCAATAGGAGTCAACTAGGATCACATACGTCCTCTTCACAGAAATTGTGAAGATCAGTTACAGGGCAGGCTAAACTACCTTTAAAAACAAAAAAGAGAGAGGGCTGGGTGTGGTGGCTCATGCCTGTAATCCCAGCGCTTTGGGAGGCTGAGGCAGGCAGATCACGAGGTTAGGAGATCGAGACCATTCTGGCCAATATGGTGAAGCCCCGTTTCTACTAAAATACAAAAAATTAGCCAGGTGTGGTGGCATGCACCTGTAGTCCTAGCTACTTGGGAGGCTGAGGCAGGGGAATCACTTGAACCCAGGAGGTGGAGTTTGCAGTGAGCCGAGATTACGCCACTGCAGTCAAGCCTGGAGACAGAGCAAGACTCCACTCCATCTCAAAAAAAAAAAAAAAGAGAACCCAAAATGCAGCGGCTTAAATAATACTTTATTTCTCTTCCATATGATGGTCCTGAGGTAAGATGTCCAGATTGGTGGGCAGCTGCGCTCCACAGTCATTTGGGGACCCAGTTTTCTTCCATCTTTTTGGCATACCACCCCTTGGGCATTGTCCTCATCTGCATGATCTCTATGAGATCACAGACACTGCTGCTCATATTTCTCTGGAGAAAACCTAGTCACATGGCCACATCTCTTACTTCAAAAGGCTAGACAAATTGTAAAGCACACTTAAAAAAAAAATCAAAGCTTATTAAAGCCAAGTCTTTAAAAATGTTTCATATTTGTCTTGAACTTAAAAAAAAAAAAAGAAAGTCTACATCACATGCATTTATAAGAAACGTTTTTAGGATTTTTCCCTCTACATCATAAAAGACCTGTATTTCCTCTTACTGCCAAATACAACCACTGTTAATAGATATTTCAGATATTTCCCTATAATACTTTTTCTTGGCATTTTTAACATGGTTATGTTCAAGCTATTTATACCACTCTGAATCCTTTTTTTTTTTTTTAACTCTTTGCATAATTTACCTGTCATTACAAACTCTTTGTAAATATTCTAATTAACTAAGTAGCAAGGGTAGGGAACATGTCATCTTCAATGTTCAGCAGGCAGCATGGTGCCGGTCACATATTAGGGGTTCAATCAATGTTTGTTGAATGGAGGCATAGCTGGATACTGATAGAGTGCTATCAGGTTGATCAAAAGTTCCATGGTTTATTTAGCAAACCCCAAGTGGCTGTGTTGTAACTTTACAGAAAACTACTGTAGCCTTGGACGATAAATCACCTGCCTTGGACGATACATCAGTGTTTACATTTTACTTATTTATATACAGAAGCAGCCCTTACAATGAAATTACTGCACTGAGAACCTGTGCTTCCATGCCACTGTGTCACACTTAAGCAAATGTCACTGTTTTCTTTATCTATAGGGTAATTGTTCTCCTAGAGGCCCTCAGACCTCAGTGGTGTAGCAGAGAAATTCCAGATCCAGCAAACAGCACTTGCACTAAGAAATATCCCATCGTGGAGGTAAGGTATAATGCCTCTGTGGTCAGTCATTGGGGTTCTGGTGATCGCCACATCTAAGTTTTCCATTGTAGTTACAAGGAAGCCCAGGTGCTAAGATCATACAGTTGAGCTGAAATTATTCATGCTCAGCTACCACTGAGTCATCACTCTCATTTTTTTTCCTGAACTTAAGAGCAGCCATGTGCAGGAATCTTCTGAAGTTTATAATCATAAGACTAAAAGCCCCCTAGCTTTTTATTCCTCAGGATGCCTCACATTCCCCTTCTCACCAAGCTGCTCTCCTGTTCTCCTCACCTAACTTATTTCAAAAGAAAGCAAGATTTTTTTTTTTTTTTTTGGCCATTTGTTGAATACTAGCCTGAGCATTGACTCATCCAAAATTCAAGAGAATTGAAGATTTTGATTTTCCTATCTGAGCATAGAACAGATAAATAGAACTCACACTATGTTGGTTTGGGCAGGAAGCCAGTATATCATTCCATTGTGCAAAGAAAAGGTTTTAAAGGAGAGGCAGCTCAGCTGGCAGATGAGAAAGCAGAGAGTAAAGGAAATGAAGGAGCTGCTGAGGCCCAGGAACGGAGGTGAGAAAGCTCACAGTGGGCAAGATGGGCCATCCCTGGTGGAGGGTCTGGAAGTTAAAAACATCTGAATATGAAGACTACATTTTTTTTTTTTTTTTGAGACAGAGTCTCTCTATGTCACCCAAGCTGGAGTGCAGTGGCACGATCTCAGCTCACTGCAAACTCTGCGTCCCAGGTTCAAGCAATTCTCTTGCCTCAGCCTCCCCAGTAGCTGGAATTGCAGGTGCTCACCACACCAAGCTAATTTTTTTTGTATTGTTAGTATAGACAGGGTTTCACTATGTTGGCCAGGCTGGTCTTGAACCCCTGACCTTGTAATCTGCCCAAGTGCTGGGATTACAGGCATGAGCCACCGTGCCCTGCCACGAAGACTACATTTAAGGGGAGAAATAGGAGACAGAAGTGGCAAGCCAATATTCCTCCCATTGTCTGAGGCTTTGACAGCTCCAGGCTCCTTTTCCAAAACCTTGTAACGCTTTTCGCCCAAGATACTTCTCTTTAACTACCCAGTGTGTTCTGTCACCCATACCTTTCCTCAGGCCAGAAGCCAGTGGTCCATAGTCTTAGCCTCTACTCAAAAAATAAAATAAATAAATAAATAAATAAATAAAAGAGCGGATCCCAGTCATAGCTTCCTTAGGAATTTAAGTCACTACAGTTTAGTGCCTTTGAAATCAAGCCTGGAGGCCACCCCTGCCTCTGCTGCTTACTATGTGTGTGACTCTGAGGCAACTTGCCCAACTATCTGGGCCCAAGTTTCAGCTTCCATAAAACAGGAGTTGACAATATCATTCTTACATACCACTGTGAGGATCAAATAAGATGCCATGTAAAACACATTGGACATACAAGGCAGAGGTCATTCACCCTCTTCCTGGGAAGACACATAATTTAAGTCTCCTCCAAGGGATTTTGTCCCTGTCAAGTTGCAACTGCAAGAATAGTGATAATAACAGCAGTTTGTGTATATATATAATATACAGGTTCTAAATTTATATATTTTATATATTCTATGTCATATAATAATTATATAATATTATATATTCATTATTATAATTTAGATATATTACCTTCTATGTACCAGACACTTTTGAAAATATTTTTGTATATTAACATTTAACCCATGCAACAGCTTTATATGAGATTATATGATTATTATCATTTTTCATATGAGGAAACTGAGGACTAAGTAACTTGCCCAACATTAGCGAGTAAATGGCGGATCCTGGACTCACAACCAAGCCAGATCACTGCATTATACATTGTAAAGGATCTTTTATCACAGGGCGAGGAGAGTGTTTTTTAGCAGTCTACACCTCTGAGCTGAACGGACTTATTAGAGAAAGTAAGAAAGGAGGAAGGTGAAAGAATTGGTACATGTACACCTAAAGTTGTGTAGCATAAGAATGTTCATTGCAGCATTATCAACAGAAGCATAATGGAAAGGTCCACCAGGGGGCAGATTAAACATTTCGGGTACATTCGTACAGCAGGATATTAGGCAACTACTAAGAAAATGAGATAGATCTATATTGCCTAAAGATCTCGAAGATACTTAAAAGTAAAAAGTGCAACATTTATAACAATTGTCTAAAGTGCGTTCATTTATATAAAAATGAGGGCGATTTTATACACACTCATAGATCTGCAGCATGGGCACAGGATATTTCTGGAAGCCCACTGATACATATGAAATGGGTAAAGGGAGGGGGCTGAGAGTATGAGGGCCACTTAATTTTCATTACATAGTCCCTTTGAACTTTTAGAATATCTTTTTTTTTTTTTTTTTTTTTTTCTTTTTTGAGATGAAGTCTTTGTTGCCCAGGCTAAAGTGCAATGGCGTGATCTCAGCTCACTGCAACCTCTGCCTCCCAGGTTCAAGCAATTCTCCTGCTTCAGCCTCCCAAGTAGCTAGGATTACAGGCACCTGCCATCATGCCTGGCTAAGTTTTGTATTTTTAGTAGAGACGGGGTTTCACCATGTTGGCCAGGCTGGTCTTGAACCCCTGGCCTCAAGTGATCCACCTCCCTCAGCCTCTCAAAGTGCTGGGATTACAGGCATAAGCCACCATGCCCAGCCTCGAATATCTTAAGAAAACTATGTACCTATATTTTTTTTTGCAAAAATAACCAGTGAATTAGAAAAATTTTTTAATTAAGCAGTTTAAATATGGCCTTCAGAATGAAGGCCTTGAGATGGCCAGTGTGCCTTGACCCTTGAAGGAGGTGGACTGTTTTTAGAAACCAAACTGCTCTCCTGGTGCTAGGCAGGGGCAGACAACAGAAACACAATAGTGTGTCCTTTCCTTCCAGCAAATGTGCTTTGAGCTTTCAGGCCTTCCATCCCCTACTGTTTCTTAAGATGTGGCTACAAAACCATGTGCCCTAAAGCTCTGGAGGAAAAGGCCAAATCATAAAGGGGATCGCTGGAGTGTTATCTAGCTTGTAAAAGCTTAAAATAGTGGCATGAGGTTCCTGAACTGATAGTGGTTTAAGAGGCCTGCCTCCAAGGACTTGCAAGCCAGAGGGCCTGCTTTGTAAAAGACGGGAGAAGCAGCCTCTCAGTGTTGCTGTCGCTCTCATGATGGCAGAGCAAACGCCTCACCTTGTGAAAACAAGCCATTTTCGCAAGCCATGTAATCTCTCCCACATCTGCGGTAGCAGCACTTTGGCAGCTCAGCTTCCCAGAGCTGCCAGCTGTGTTCCAAGCCAGACCAACGTGCCAGGGCCAGTTTGAGCAGTGATCAGAAAAGAGCAGGCTCCCTGAAGTGAAACATGCACATCCTCTAGCTTGGTGGGGCCCTACATGGAAATCTGTTCTGAGACAGTGCCGTTGTTCACCTTCCTGACACTTGTCTTGCCCAAGGCAAGGGAGGGGACGTCAGAAGATCCAGACCAAACCCCTCTTGCACAACTTGTCATTGAAGAAATCAGAGAACTGCGGCCCCAGAGAGGTTGATTGGGTATTCCCAGGCTACAGTGTCAGAGTTGGGACTAGTCCCCAGGGTGTGCCTTGTCCCAAGGCTATTTTTTGTCATCCTACTCCTCCCAGTGCACACATGGCTTACAGGTATGTAAAGAAAGCGACAGCACAAAGCACAACATGCCAAGAATCTAATGGGTTGCTTCACTGAATAGGCATCCAGGGGAAGGGACAGTCACCAGGGGTCTCATGGAAGGGGAAGGTGTCAAGCAGGGGACAGTGGAAGACACACAGAAAGAAGACTGGGGGCTGGCGGTGGAAGCAAAAATGTGTGGGGCACTGAGAGAAGGGCGTGATTAGTAAGACTGGGACGGTGGCTGAAAGAGCAGCTTCTGAAGAGGACCGGGAGGCTGAGGAAGCACAGGAACCAATTGCAGGGCCAGTGCTAGAATCCTGCCTGTGCATGGAAGCTGAGTCGACAGAGGCTCTGGACCTCTGCTTGGGAAATATCAGACAGCCAGTGTGTGGGATCTTTCTAGGATGCAAGGAGACCCCAATTAAAGCCCAGTTTTTAAAAATGTTAATAAAGTGCCCAGGACTTAGACTCAGGAACTGGCAGCAAGTTCGGAAAGGAAAGAGGTACTACATTGAAGAGCTGGGCACTGGCAGGATGCTAAGAGAAAACAAGGGAGAGAATTTATTAATTAACAAAAGTATAAGCTAATTTTGTCTGTTACAAACAAAATTAGCTAAAGGCAAAAAGGATAAAAATTTCTTCTAAAAATGTTACTCCAAAGTAGTCTTTTTTTTTTTAATTTTTACTCATCTGTGTGAAATAGGACAAAGTAGTCTTTCTTAAAAGTAGATGTGACAAGGATATTACCTTGCCTGAAATCTTTCGGTAGTTCTCCCAACGTCCAAACCCTCTTGCATAACGTAAAAGGCACTGTGTGATGTGATCGCTTCCTATTTCTGAAGCCTTGGGTTATCAGTCATAAGAAATAACGAGCAGGTTCCAGAACACACCAGTCCTCCTTGCCAGCACCTCCCTACCTGGAAAATACCACACATCTCTTAGGACTCAGCTCTTGTGTCCCCACATCACCTGTTTTAGTGTGACCCTAAAGGCTTCCTGGCCTCCTACCCCAGACAGAAGTCTCAGCCTTTCCTTTGCATCTCTGGTGCCCTCTGTCCTCCAGGAAAAGCAAGTAGTATAGCTTGGTTGACATTAGAAACGGGGCCGGGCACGGTGGCTCACACCTGTGATCCCAGCACTTTGGGAGGCCAAGGCAGGCAGATCACCTGAGGTCAGGAATTCTAGACCAGCCAGGCCAACATGGTGAAACCCCGTCTCTACTAAAAATATAAAAATTAGCCGGGCATAGGGGTATATGCCTATAATCCCAGCCACTCAGGAGGCTGAGGCACAAGAATCACTTGAACCTGGGAGGTGGGGGTTACAATGAGCCAAGATCGCGCCACTGCACTTGAGCCTGGGTGACAAAAAAAGAAACAGGTTAAAAGTTGAATGGGGTAGTGAATCACTCACTGGCTGGTTGAGAGGAGTCTCTGACTCCTGCTCCTCTGCCTCCTTGACACTGTTAACTGTTTCTCTTACCTCACAAACTCCAGTGCCCACCATGTTCCAACCAGGGCTGAGGAGGCAGTGCAGGTTGTGAGGCCTTTGGGAACCTTGGAGAAATAGTTTGCTAAGGTCGCTTCTATAGCGTATGAGCCTCTTCCTCCTCCTTTCTCTCAGGAGAATACACAGCTGCCCTTGGACAGGCTCCTGACAGACTGGCCCACTCCTGAAGACCCTGAACCCCTGGTCATCAGTGAAGTCCTTCATCAAGTGACCCCAGTCTTCAGACGTCCCCATGGCTCCAACTGGCTACAAAGGGGAAAAGGAATCCAAGGTCACCAGACCTCTGAGAAAGACAAGCTGCCCAGTGCCTCAAGTCCACCACCTTCAAGAGCTCTCCCAGCTGAGAGGAGACAACTGGTAGATCTGTACAAGGTGCTGGAGAGCAGGGGCCCTGACTCAAAGCCAGAAAACCCAGCCAGTCCTTGGACGGTGCTCCCGGCGGGCGACCTTCCCACCCATGATGGCTACCTACCCTCCAACATAGATGATCTCCCCGCACATGAGGTGCCTCTCTCTGACTCCCTGGAAGACCTGGAGCCTCAGCACATCTCCCTTTCTGTTTTCCCCTCAAGTTCTCTTCACCCACTCACCTTCTCCTGTGGTGATAAGCTGACTCTGGATCAGTTAAAGATGGGGTGTGACTCTCTCATGCTCTGAGTGGTGAAGCTTGAAGCCTGGAAAGTCAGTGTGCCCCCAGCCAGCACAGTCTACCCCAATTCTCCCAGCCCCAACGCCAGCAGTTGTCATCTCTGGGTTCCACCATCAGTCTGCCTGCAGCTAGAGGACAGGCAAGCCAGCTCTGGGAGGTTCTTAGGAACTGGATCTTCACACAGATGCCTCATCTTATTTTTCCCAGGGCCTTAAGATTACATCCTTCACCATGTGGACTTAGAAACTCCAACTTGAATTCCTGGTAACTTTCTTGGCTATGCTGGCCAGAAAGGGAAAAGAGGAGGAGAGTGGAAACCACAGCTCCTAGCAGTAACGGCAAACAGTCCAGAGGACCATTCATGCAAAGACTATTTCTAAAATCACCTGCTACGTAGCAGACTGTACACAGCAGATCAGCACTGTTCAACAGAACTTCCTGAGATGATGGAAACGTTCTACCTCCACACTCACTGGCCAATACAGTAAACACTAGGCACACGGGATGTTAAACACTTGAAATGTGTTTAGCTTGACTGAGGAATTAAATTTTGATTGTAAATTTGAATCATCACATGTGGCTAGGGGCTACTGTTTTGGAGAGCACAGCTCTCGATGGCTCCTAGATTACTGGGAGCCACCATAACAAATCAGCCTAGTTCTATGGATGAGGACATAAAAGACACTGGTAAACACCAGTGTCAAAGGGCCCACAAGGTAGTCATGAGTGGTTTTATTTGTAGAAGTCTAAGAATGTACCTTTTTCCTAGTTGTGCTGCTTTATTGTTTTATTTTGGCTTCATCCCTTTCAGTGAGTCAAGGGCAGCTGGATGGTGAAGAGCTACCATAAACTCACTATAGGACCCTGAGCCAGCCAGCATCCCCTCTGAATCTCAGGTGTCTTGTAAAGGGCTGAACCAAAGGCTCTCTGACCCCTTGTTTCTTCTCCTTTTTGCTGTAGCAGGTGCTGCCTTCAGGACCAGGGCTGTCTCAGGGTCTAAGACCCCAACCTCCAAGGTTACCCTCAGAAGTTGTCTGTCCCCTGTTCCCAAAGGCACAGCTTTCACGCCCCAAGAAGACTTTGAGCTGGCCCTCGGACAGCTCAAGTTGAGCCTGGAAGATAACTCTCTTATCCACAGCATGGACTTGGAACGTGATCCATGTTTTGCTCTTTAAAGCTGTGGCCCCTTGCTTGTTACCCTCCCTGGCGCATTGCTGCCTCTGGCTCTTCACCATAGGCACTTCTGCCAAGCTGGTGGAGAAAAGTCTTTGTCTAAACTACTAATAGTGCTCTTCTCAAAAGAACAGGATAAAAGATCCAAAACACTTTTTCTTAAATTCCTGTCAAGCCTGGGGTCTAACCCCCACCCCTTCCCACACAAACACTGGAAAAGAGATGGCTTTGCCATCATCCTCTAGATTTTCTTTTTTTTTTTTTTTGAGATGGAGTCTTGGCCTGTTGCCAGGCTGGAGTGCAAGGGTGCAGTCTGGGCTCACTGCAACTCTGACTCCCTGGTTCAAGCAATTCTCCTGCCTCGGCCTCCCGAGTAGCTGGGATTACAGGTACACACCACCAACCCAGCTAATTTTTGTATTTTTAGTAGAGTTAGGGTTTCTCCATGTTAGCCAGGATGGTCTCGATCTCCTGACCTCGTGATCCACTCACCTAGGCCTCCCAAAGTGCTGGGATTACAGGCATGAGCCACTGTGCCCAGCCTCTGGATTTTCATTTAACAAAATACCTGTTGCAAATGTGTACTTCTTTCCTAATGTGCGGCACTAGAAACTTGTCCATACAGAGCCCAGTCTTGTATAAATAACTGTTCTTGCGCTTTAGGTTTACCAGATTTCCCCCAGAGATCTAAAAATTGAGCAATGGACAGTTGCTCTGCTTCTTCATGTTGAAACTCTTGATACATCCTTGTTTCCTGCAATTCCAAACTTAACATCGATAGTTTTCTCAGGCTTTTTTTTTTTTTTTTTTTTGAAAAGTTCCTTCCTTTCTATTAATATTTTTTTTTATTTAGCTATTATTGTGGGGCACCCCCAAGGGTTCCTTTCCTCTCAGCATCGCTGTAGCTTGCCTGCACCCAGGACATGCCCTTGACTGGCACAAACCATGCCAGACAAGGCCACCACCTCAGAAATGGACCAACCAACTATCTTTTGGCAATGGGAACTAACTTCACTGTTTTCTTACAATACCTGGTTTTTCCTATCTTTGGTTTCCTTTTGATGACCCGTTATCCATCTCAGCCACTCTTCTCCCCTCTCTCGTGTCCACAACGCCCCATTTAACAAGTCTCCCATTTAACTCCAACCCTTTTTTCCCTTAGAGTCTCAGATGATACTGCAACTCTCATTTGTCTTCCCAAAAAAAGATTTCTTTTTTTTTAAAGGAATCCTTCCTTGACTCCTAAAGACTCCTATGGATGCTGAGGCCTCCTCAGCATGAATTCCAATACTTACTTTCTCTGTTGGACTGCAAACAACTTGAAAGCAGGCACTTTGGCAGTGTTTCTCCAGCACCAGCATCAGGCCTGGTCCATAGTAGCTAGCAATAAAAAAGGAAGCATCATGAACCCGCAAGCATCTGTAAAAGGTCTCAATTGATTTAAAAAGTTTTTATTTTGCCAAGGTTAAGGACACACACTGACACAGCCTCAGGAGGTCCAGAGGACATGTGCCCAAAGTGGTTGAGGCACAGCTTGGTTTTATACATTTTAGGGAGACATAAGAGATCAATCAACATATGGAAGATGTACATTGGTTGGGTCTGGACAGGTGGGACAACTCCAAGTGGGGGCTTCCAGGTCATAGGTAAATAAGAGACAAAAGGTTGCATTCTTTTGGGGTTTTGATCAGCCTTTCATTAAATACACAATTTACATGTAAGAAGGAGGTAGCTCAGGTGAGCAGAGGGATGATGCTGAGTTCTGTCTATACTTTGTCCCACACCAGTGGAGATCAGCTATGGTGAAATTCAACAGAACTGTTTTAGGGTAAAGATCCTGAAGCCCTCGAAGGCAAATTTTGACGAAAGTAGACAGTTTCTTTTTGAGGTGGGAGACATTGGGAGGCAGGTTTGCCTGATGCAGTTCCCAGCTTGACTATTCCCTTTAGCTTAGATTGATTTTCTTTTCACAGCAGTATCAGCTGCCACTGCTTTGTCTAATTCTTTCTAGTCCAGAAGCTAGCCCAGCTGTGCCCACTTCCTCATTATTGGGACAATTGTTTGCATTTGCTCATTTTCCTTCCCAAACCTCATTCTACCCCACTGTTTGTTGACAGCACCACTGTGAATGCACAGAGGGGTGTTTCTCGTTTTAAAGACATATTTGAGCATGTCCTTGGCAGCTACTCTGCCAGATAAGGTGTCCTCTTTCCATGAATGACAGAGGATGGGTAACTCTGCTCTGCCTTGTCCCAAGTGGTTTTCACAATCTGCTCTTCTCCCTCTTGCCCCCACAACACTAGTAAAAACCCCAAGCCAAGTTGCTAGATTCACCAGGTTTGGGCAGAACTCACCAATGTAGAGTCAGACTTTCATTTCTCAGGAAAATTGTCAGTAATTTCATGGTGTGATAATGTTGGAAATAGGTTTGTAATGTCGGGAAGAATCCACACCGAGACAATGGATTGCTCAGCAAGGCTACTTTTACTACCAGCAGGAAGGGTGCAACTCGCCGGCAGTCTTGCCACGAGAGCACACCTGAACAAAGGAGACAGGGATATTTATAACTTTCATATCCTGATGCAGTTGCCCTACTGCTGTGTCAGTTTTCATTGGCCAGAACGGGACCTCACATTCTATGTTTCACCCGATTGGCTAAAAACTTGAAAATTTCCTGAATAGTTAAGGGGGGGAAAGAAGACAAGGAAGAAGATGAGGAAAAAGAGGAAGCTAGTCAGGAGAAAGGAGGGTTTCCAAATAAGGAATGGCATGCACCAGGGTTTGGAGCTTGCTCAGTTCTGTTCAGACAAGTCAGAGTGAGTCAAGGTAGCTGATTTGAAGAATATATATACATGAGTATATGTTTACACTAATAGCGGATAATGGCCATAGAGCAAGAGACTGTAACTCCTTATAATGTAGTCTAATATAAAACTTTGAAGAACTTTCCCATCTCTCACATATAATGATAAATATTGGTTTTCATCTATGGTTGCTGGCTCATAATGTCAGAGGTGTTTGAACCAGAGCGACTCCATCTTGAATAGGGGCTGGGTAAAATAAGGCTGAGACCTACTGGGCTGCATTCCTAGGAGGTTAGGCATTCTTAGTTACAGGATGAGCTAGGTCAGCACAAGACACAAGTCACAAAGACCCTGCTGATGAAAGAAGTTGTGGTAAAGAAGCCAGACAAAACCCACCAAAACCAAGCTGGTCATCCTCACTGCTCATTATATGCTAATTATAATGCATTAGCATGTTAACAGACACTCCCTCCAGTGCCATGACCCAATAGGGTCTAAAAGGGGAAGAAACTCACAGCTCTGGGAATTGCCCATCTCTTTCCTGGAAAACTCATGAATAATTCACCTCTTGTTTAGCATTATCAAGAAATAACTTGGCTGGGCTCGGTGACAGCTATAATCCCAGCAATTTGGGAGGCTGAGGTGGGTGGATCACCTGAGGTCAGGAGTTGGAGACCAGCCTGGCCAATATGGTAAAACCCCATCTCTACTCAAAATACAATATTATTAGCTGGGCGTGGTGGCGTGCGCCTGTAGTCCCAGCTACTCGCTGAGTAGCTGAGGCAGGAAAATTGCTTGAACCCGGGAGGTGGAGGTTGCAGTGAGCCGAGATTTTGCCACTGCACTCCAGCCTAGCACCTGGCAACAGAGTGAGACTGTCTCAAAAAAAAAAAAAAAAAAAAATTAGCCAGGCATGGTGGCCTGTGCCTGTAATCCCAGCTACTCAGGTGGCTGAGTCAGGAGAATTGCTTAGAAGCTGGGAGGTGGAGGTTGCAGAGAACAAAGATCATGCCATTGCACTCCAGCCTGGGTGACATAGCAAGACTCTGTCTCAGAAATAAAAAAGAAAGAAAGAAAGAAATGTAAGTGTACTCAATCAAGCAGCCCATGTTGCTGCTCTATGTATGGAGTAGCCATTATTTTATTCCTTTACTTTCTTAATAAACTTACTTTCGGTTTACTCATTTACCTCAAATTCTTTCTTGCTCAAGATCAAGATCCCTGTCCCATAATAACTCCCATAGCCCTCCTTAGTGTTTTGAGATAATGCTGCGTCTGTCAGGCCCCAGTGGCTGGCCTCTAACCTTCCCCTACCCTCCTTTCACTCTAACATTCCCCTGCCTTTCCGATTGTGGGTCTTAAGACCCTTCCATGAGGGGGTCCCACCCTATACCCTGGGAGAAGAAATGCTGATGTCTTGAAGCTTTCATACAAACCCAAGTGGTGACATTTTGGGCTGGATGAAAAAAAAACAAAAACAAAAAAAAACAAGAGGGCCAGGTGCAATTGACTCATACCTATAATCCCAGCACTTTGGGAGGCCAAGGCAAGTGGATGACTGGAGGCCAGGGGTTTCAGACTAGCCTGGCCAATTCAGCGAAAACCTCATCTCCACTAAAATGACAAAAATTAACCAAGCATGGTGGCACATGCCTATAATTCTGGCTACTTGGAAGGCTGAACCATGAGAATCGCTTGAACTCGGGAGACGGAGGTTGCGGTGAGCCAAAATTGTGGCACTACACTCCATCCTGGGCAAGAGTGAGACTCCATCTCATAAAAAAGAAAATAAAAATAAGTTGGCTCCTTTGTAGAAGGCAGATGGACAATATTCAATAAACTTTGAATAAGCAAGTCAACTCCTACACTATAACCTAAGGAACAGTATAAATATATTAAATTGAATGCAGGATTCCTCAGCAGCATTGATTTTATAAAATGGTGAGGGGCAGGGACGGGGAAAAGCCTTAAATGCCCTTCAATAGAGACCTGGTTAAATCATGACATATCAGTACAATTAAATACTGAATTTCAAGGAATCTAAGACTCCAGCAGGTTTAAGACATCTCATTAGCCAGTTGCCGTGGCTCACGCCTGTAATCCCAGCACTTTGGGAGGCGGGCAGATCCCCTGAGGTCGGGAGTTCGAGACCAGCCTAACAACATGGAAAAACCTCATATCTACTAAAAGTACAAAATTAGCCACGTGTGGTGGTACATGCCTATAATCCCAGCTACTCAGGAGGCTGAGGCAGAAGAATCTCTTGAACCCAGGACGTGGAGGTTGCAGTGACCCAAGATGGCGCCACTGCACTCCAGCCTGGGCAACAACATAGCAAGACCCCATCTCTATCTTTTTTTTTTTTTTTTTTAATTAGCAGGGCATGGTGGCTTATGGCTGTAGTCCCACCTACTTGGGAGGCGGAGGCAGGAGGATCACCTGGGCAACAGAGTGTTATACTTAAAAAAGTATATCAATATTTGACATGGAAATGGTCATTTACAAAAGGCTGAATATTTGTAATGACGTCTGGAAAAAAATAATAAAAAGGCTAAATAGAATCATTTCACTTTTACAAATCAATGCAAAAAATCATAAAGAATATACACCAAAATGCTAACCATGGTTATCTCTAGCCATAGTTTTTAGACTTTTTGCATTCTTTTAATCATACCTGCTCAATACTCTTGTAATTGGATACTCAATAAAATACTACCAATTTATTTTCAAAGACCTGAGTCTAGAGACATACTACTGACCACTTTCTTTGTGGCCCTGGCCCATGTTTCTTTCCCCTTCCACCTTCTGTGTTTGGCACTTGCATTGATCCTTAGTGCTTCTGTCAGACAAAGAAAAGGCAAAGCACATGGCACAATCAAGTAACCTGGGGGTGGGAGCATTAAGGTAGTATTTGAGGTAATCAGTCTTTGAAATCCAGTTTATATATATATAGGCTAAGCACAGTGGCTCATGCCTATAATCCAGCACTTTGGGAGGCCAAGGTGGGCAGATCTCTTGAGGTCAGGAGTTTGAGACTAGCCTGGCCAACATGGTGAAACTCCGTCACAATTTAAAAAAAAAAAGGCTGGTCTCGGTGGCTCATGCTTGTAATCCCAGCACTTTGGGAGGCCAAGGCGGGCAGATCACCTGAGGTCAGGAGTTCAAGACCAGCAGGGACAACACAGTGAAACTCTGTCTCTACCAAAAATTAGCTGGGTGTGGTGGCAGGCGCCTGTAATCCCAGCTGCTCAGAAGGCTGAGGCAGGAGAATCGCTTGAACTGGGGAGGCAGAGGTTGCAGTGAGCTGAAATTGTGCCACTGCACTCCAGCCTGGGCAACAGAATGAGACTCCATCTCAAAATAAATACATATAATAATAAGCCAACTTTTGCCAATTCCTCTTCTAATAGGAATTGTTAATTATACCCAATAACACTAACAGTACTTAGTGCATAGTTTTTAAGGACTGTAAATCAGTTCTTACTACCAAACAGGTGAAGAAACAGATACAAAGGTCAAATAACAATGGAATTCACACAATACCTTATACCAGCTAGTCTAGTCTCAAAGCATAACTTTTAAATACTCTCTAATTCCATTCTATGCAAATATTGTACAAGTTTACATTGAGATTCTGACTGTAGTTAACTGTAACTGTGATTCTGTACAAATCTTTGAAGTCTCCAAAAAACCTTTGAAATAAATTCAGACCAAAGAAAGTTTTTATGGGGCAACCACAAACTGGTGTTTCCATACTTCTGAAGTTCTAGTTCATTCTTGGTTCTTGAGAAATCAACCTAAAAACCATATAAATTTAAAAACAAGTGACACAGGGACAAATCTGGCACTCTTGAATTTGCTAATTTATCTACCCAGCTAGTCTAAATCCTGTAATAGAAGGCACAGATAGGCCACAAAAAGGAAAGTACCACGCCTCAAAAAGAGCGATTTGAAGTAAACTGATAAATGGACTATTTTAAGCCATTAATAGGAACATTGTCTTTTAAAGGAAGTAACCAGAAAATATGCTCTTCCTTCTTTAACTGAAATATCTAGAACTCCACCCAATTTACCTTTTTCTAAAAATAAAGACTATTTCTTGTTCTCATTTTGGAGTCTTGGTCTGTTGTCCAGTCTGGAGTGCAATGGTGCAGTCTCGGCTCCCTGCAACATCCGCCTTCTGGATTCAAGTGAGATTCTCCTGCCTCAGCCTCCCAAGTAGCTGGGATTACAGGTGCCTGCCACCAGGCCTAATTTTCATGTTTTTAGTAGAGACGGGGGGTTTCGCCACGTTGGCCAGTCTGGTCTTGAACTCTTGACCTTGTGATCCGCCTGCCTCAACCTCCCAAAGCGTCGGGATTACAGGCATGAGACACCACATCCCACTAATAAAGACTACTTCTTAAACAAAAAGGAATTAGGATTGTATTTAACTCAATTTTTGTTGCTATGAGCTGTAGAAACACAAGTAAGTGCCCTTGTTTCACGCTGTGGTAACTGGCTCCATACTTTGCTAGTGGTCACTTCTTTTCATGTTACAAGCCTCAAAACTATTTTTTTTTTTTTGAGACGGAGTTTCACTCACGTTACCCAGGCTGGAGTGCAATGGCGCGATCTCGGCTCACCGCAACCTCCGCCTCCTGGGTTCAGGCAATTCTCCTGCCTCAGCCTCCTGAGTAGCTGGGATTACAGGCATGCACCACCATGCCCAGCTAATTTTTTGTATTTTTAGTAGAGACAGGGTTTCACCATGTTGACCAGGATGGTCTCGATCTCTTGACCTCGTGATCCACCCGCCTCGGCCTCCCAAAGTGCTGGGATTACAGGCTTGAGCCACCGCGCCCAGCCAAAACTATTCTAAAGTTGGCTCTTCTGAGACTTCAATCACATCACTAAGATACAAACCTATTATATGCTGCCAAAGGGTTCCTTTAAGTCAATTCAGATCTCTTTTCAAGTTCCCCAACTTTAAGGAATTCTTCCATCAAGAGACCTTGGCTTACCTATGCAAGACTATGACAGGTGAGGTTCAAAATATCTTCCAATTTCAGACGTTTTACCACCTACAGGTAATAGGACCCAAGAAAACCCTTCAAGGAAAGGCAGAATATCCACTCATACTCAGGGCATTTTCACTAGTTAGAAAACTGTAAAAACACTTTCAAAATTGGATGAAAATTAAGTACAAAGAGCATTCCCTTTTCACAACACTTGTTTCCAAAGTTTCTCCCCTGCCCCCCAACTCTCATACTTAAATTGACTGGATTCCTTTGCATTCCTGTAAACACTTCAGAATCTATTTAGTTGATCGACTCTAATCTGTCTTTGGCAGAGTAGCTTTCAGAGTAGCTGTAGAGATGGTTTAAAAAGAATTACATCCACTTTTAACCTGCTTGTGAGATTAAAATAATTTGCAATGATAATCAGCCAGTAAGCAATTTCATCAGCTACTGCTGCAATCTTCAATTCAAAAGTTTTCATCTAAAAATCTGCAGTTATTTTTATGGTTTAATAACCCTAAGTAGCAAGAGATTGATGATCTTAAAAAGAGGAAACATCCACGCTCTCCTGTAACTGAGAAGTGCTGGCTAAATTCTTCAATCAACAGTTTATTTGAAGTTTTCTCTAAACTGTCCATTTTCTCCTGAAGAGAACCTCTCATGTTGTTTGCATTTTCACTTAGAATTACTCAGCATCCAAAGCAGACTTCTAGCT